TTAGCGCAAATCACCTTGTATCTCGAAATCTAACTAGAAATAATTGGCAACAACAAAAACGCTGCCTTAATACACTTCAAGAATGGCTCTCAAATAACAATTATAGATTTTTTAAAATGTTTAATTTTGTATTTTTTTTCGATCCAGACGGTACTTTATCGGATTTAATATTCCGACTCTCAGTTTTGCACCACGAATAGATTTTGGCGTTATACAAAATATCCAAAAATATTATTAAATGTTCAGTACAACAGGCCAAGGAATCTTTTCCAGAATTATTCAAGTATTTTACAACTTTTTTTTTTAAATATTTTTAATGCCTTTTTTGAAAAAATGGGTTTTGAAATGTTTTTGGAAAATGTCCAATGCCGAATGGCAAAGAATTTTACCCGCCTCTGTAGGGACACAAAGGCCAATAGTGCTAGCGGTACACATAGATATTTAGTGAAAAACGGCAAATTGTGTTAAAAGCATGAATTTTGGTATACTTGGTATTTAAACCATAACAATTGATTTGGCCCGTAGCATTACCCCACAACTGTCATTTGTTTATGTTTGTTTAAACAATTCACTCGATCTGTTAAAAAAGCACAAAATAGGCTCACCAGATGCCAATGCCAAATAAAATTTACATTGGAAGTTGATAAAAAGAACGGAAAGTCATGCTGATCTATCCAAAGGCCCATCCTGACCTAAGTCGCAATTTTGATTTTTTGTTTATACATATTGTTTACTAATTTAGTTAAGGCAAAATTATTGATTTTTCGGATATTGCATGTGGGGAATCGATTTCGACTAATTAGGGGTCAAGAAGCTCGATTATTGACATTAGAACTCGTTTCCGCGCTTTTTTAATACTTCCATGATACAAATTATTGAATTATTTTTTTTAAATTATGCTATGCGCCGCTCTTATGTGAAATAACGACAATTCCAGTGCCAGAGTAAAGGAGAGCGAGAAGGTTTTCTGATAGACAAGACAACATTTTCTTTTTATTCCCAAGTTAGAAAACTTTGTTCTTTCTTTTTTCTTTATACAGATTGCGGTAAGATCAGAACCTTTTGGTGTAACTCTTTTTTTAACAATCTCTGACATTTTAATCGACTCCGTATCTACATAATTATAGGTACATAATTTTATTACTATTTTCATCTTACAAAATTTCATTCAGTTCAGTTTGGAGTTCGTTTTTATAGTTTTGGATTTGATTGATATATGAACAATTATTCAAGATTACATTAGGTCTCAAAATGATATTTGGGTTATCCGTGTTAGCATAATTTAAAATTACTCAGATGTGGACAGTAAAATAGTCATCGCCAAGTTCAATTCTGGACATCTGCTTGATCTTGGTTTATAGTTGAGATTTCCACGTCCTTAAAACAAGTATTTTAATTCGGGACCGTAAGCGGGTCCCGAGTCGGGGCGGAACACCAGTCCCAACAAAACTACTGATGACGTTATCGGAAATCGGGACTGGATATGGATCCCGAGTCGTTATTTTTTTCCAAAATCGGTACGGTTTTAGGGCACTTATGACCTTTATGGGTTGAAAATATGAAAAAATTTGCTTCAAATTGAGCTTTTATTTTTTTTCTGAAGATTTTCAATAAGTTTCCACATTCATCTTTTGATAGGTGATTTATACTTTCTTTATCAACATTGTGTCAATTTTTTTTTCAAAGTCGGTACGGTTTTAGGGAACTTATGGCCCTTATACATTGAAAATATAAGAAAATTTGCTTCAAATTGAGCTTTTATTTTTTTTTTCTGAAGATTTTCGATAGGGTTTCACATTCATCTTTTGAAAGGTGATTAATACTTTCTTTATCAACATTGTGTCAATTTTTTTTTCAAAATCGGTACGGTTTTAGGGAACTTATGGCCCTTATACGTTGAAAATATAAGAAAATTTGCTTCAAATTCAGCTTTTATTTTTTTTCTAAAGTTTTCCATAAGGTTCCACATTCATCTTTCGATAGGTGATCGATACTTTCTTTATCAACATTGTGTCAATTTTGTTTTCAAAATCGGCATGGTTCTGGGCACTCATCGCCCTTATGGAATGAAAATATGAAAAAATTTGCTTCAAATTGAGTTTTTTTTTTCTGATGATTTTCGATAAAGTTCCACATCCAACTTTTAACAGGTGATTAATACTTTCTTTATCAACACTGAGTGTTGAAATGGGATTAAGAGCGCGTTCCTTGTCAGTGTTGAAATGAGTTTATTTTTTGAATTTTAAATATTTTGAATGAATCACAAAAAATCTTGTATGAGACACGTCGCAAAATGGCTGTTTTTTTGCACACAATGTGTTGAACCACTCGCTTCGCTCGTGGTTCAATCTTCACATTTAGTGCAAAAAACACGCTCATTTTACCACTTGTTACATAAATAACTATTATTTATTGGTTTTATTAATTCATTTATCCTCAGTTATTCATCCACTGTCACTTGAGCGCCAAATTTTCTTCAATATTTTCTTCTATAATACAGAAGAATAATTAAAAAAGCCTTGCAAACGAGTTATTAATCGAGATTTTTGCCCCTAATTAGTCGAAATCGATTCCCCACATGCAATATCCGAAAAATCAATAATTTTGCATAAACAAAAGTGAACAATATGTTTAAACAATAAATCAAAGAAATATAAAACTGCCTATACGTCTCAAACGAGAAGCGGATAGAAAATGATTTCATATTATTTGAAGAGTGATTGAAGTAACATTTTTGGTACAATAGGTACCTACTTTATCTTGACCATATTTTTTCGGAAAAACCCCTCCCTGGAAAACCCAATACTGTATGAATATGAAAGGGTCGATTCTTGTAATTGGATCATCGTAAAGTTCAAGAAGGACGCACTCCAATCAATTGTGGTCAAAGCCCAAACAGGTACATTTATGTTAATGGTATATAGATTTTGAATGCTCTTACCATTGTATTATAGAATTGCAAATTATAGCTTTGAAATATATGGAAAAAAAAAACAGCAGTTTAGAAGTTCCTTAGAAAGGCCTCCAGGTAAAAACAAAATTGCGACCGGAATTCGGGTGTGGATTTATGAACAATACCCAAATTACTATGAAATGATTGAATTAAAGAAGGAAAATTCGCGTCAGGGTGATAATTCGGTAAAAATGACCAGTAATTATAAAACGTATAGGTATTCTTATCAAATTTTTCAAATTTGAACCTAATTTTGCCCTAAGCGTGTTACCTGTAATATCTCTTTAACTGTAGGTAGATACATAATTGATTATTTAATAATAAAAAAACATAGTTGTTTTTTAGCAAAGGTTTTAATACCAAATTTAGATCCCGAGTGCCTAGTCGCATCCAAAAAAAGGATTTCTGATACCATTGTATTTTTCAATTGATGTGGCAACAACCGCCTAATATCACTGAATTTGTACCAAACAAGACCCCATTTTAGAAGCGTCCTCTATTGACAATGATAGTATGATAAGTAAATAATATCATCGTTTTTATTAAATATTTCGAAAAGATTCATCATTGTGTCAACAATATTGGCGTACTAGTTGCGAACCTAGTTCATAGGTGGAGACGTTCAATCCAAAGCCATTTCTTGAAGAGAAATCGAGGCATGGGAAATATATTACTAGAGACTTTTTATACAATGAATATAGGAATTCATCGTCGAAATGTCACTAGCAGCCATTTTGGGATAGAAACAGGCCCTGATTAACGATAATTTAGGTTTTTTCTTTCCTGTCATAGAGTCGTATTGGCTTTAAATAAACTGATTAATTATTAGTTACATAGTTACATATAATAATATTTATAATTACTAATGTATTATTATTATTATTAAATATACAACAATGATAACAGATAACACTATAAATGACAACACGAATATACTAAGTATTACTTCGAAAAAAATTCCGCACTACACCGCACGCCTATGACCTCCGTCAGAAATAAACAAATGTAATCAAACTTCGGCGCCCCTGTCGTTTAATGACAAGATGGTATCCCCTAATGGCGGCATGCGCAGAAAAGATGCGCGTGAGAGTTAGCCTGCTGATTGTTTTTGTATATGCTGTGGTAAAACCATCGAGCTAGTAAAACCTTTGAGTAAAACCAAAGGCGTTTTCTCTCGTCTCAAATAGGTATTTCAAAACTGGTTTAAGTGAAATATCACCATGACGTCATAATTTCTCGGCGCGAGAAAATGGTTTGAAAACGTGGATTGGATTGTATTTTGAAACGGTTTGTATAAATTTTGACGTGACGTAATGGGTTTAGCGAGAATGTACTGTTTCAAAACGGTTTTGAACCAGTTTTTTGGCGCCAAAATATTGGACTAATAGAATCATCGCATTGGCGGAAAAACGGATGCATGAAAAGGAAGCTTAGGGAGGATTTTCATGCATCCGTTTTTCCGACGAAATATGTCCGTTTAACATTCTATTCTGACATAATCGTATATAAATATGTCAAAATAGAAGACTTTTGGACATATTTCGACGGAAAAACGGATGCATGAAAATCCTCCCTTAAGCCTAGTACTCATAACTGCGAAATTCGCATTTTTTTGACATTGCTTAGACAATTTGACGTTTGATACACGCATAAAACGTCAAATTGTCAACGCAATGTCAAAAAAATGCGAATTTCGCAGTTATGAGTACGAGGCTTTAGGGTTACTTTTCATGCATCCGTTTATCCGGAAGTATTCGTATTGGTCCAATATTTTGGCGCCAACATATTGGACCAATAGGAATACTCCCGGATCGACGGATTGACGGAAAAACGGATGCATGAAAAGTAAGCCTAAAGCAAAAGTCGGCGGAATCATAACCTGCGGTGCAAACAGCCTACGTCAAAGCGAGAAAGGACATGCTGTCTACGTCACAATTGGTGATTTGGCGTCGTGGAGGGCTTCAGTTTGTTCCATACAGGCCGTATGAGGATAGGCTATCCTGTACTGTGGTAGTAGTGTGTATTATCCTTGAGGTTTACACCCACTTTAAACTAGCTTCGTTTACACGGTTTATTTTATTTTGAAATTATTTTAACAATTTTTATTATTTAATATTTAATGGCAATACTGTTAAACAGATATCAACTAGCAGTTCCCATACTTTTATTAACTGCTAAGTGTTTCTCTTCTAATATCATGTCCACAGTTACTGTGTCCGACACTAGTTTAGTTGAAAAAGCTAAAAATTTAGCTCCACCACTTAGTTCTGGCAAACATAAAGGACAGGTGATGATACTTTTTAATTACACCACAACTAAGCTCAGGTTATTATTCTCTAGGCTGGAAGAATTGGTGTCTTTGGTGGTAGCATAGAATTCACAGGAGCCCCATATTTTTCATCAATATCAGCTCTAAGAGTAGGAGCTGATTTAAGTTACGTTTTCACCATAAAAGATGCTGCTTTTGTGATAAAATCATACAGTCCTGAATTGATGGTATTGCCTTTTCTGGATGATCAAGAGGCTATTGAGAAAATTAGTCCATGGATTGACCGGCTACATGTAGCATTGTTAGGACCTGGTCTGGGTCGTTTGAAATCAACACAAGGTATATTTGAGAAAATCATTGATGTCTGTAGATCCAAAAATATCCCATTGGTTATTGATGCCGATGGACTATTCTTCATTGCTGATAATCCAAATATAATCAAAGACTATCCGGCACCAGTCATACTAACACCCAATAAAATGGAATTTCAAAGACTAATAGGAGATAAGCAGAATGTCACCAAAGAAGAACAAGCAATACAGTTTTTGGAAAAAGTTGGGTCTAATGTTACTTTGTTTTGTAAAGATGCAACAGATGAGATTATAACAATGACGAAAAATGTTAAGGTAAGAATCATCGAGGGGTACCTAAATTATGCACTTAAAAATGCAGCATCACCTGAAGGAATTAAATGAAACATTCACTTCTGTGAGGTGGGGCATTCTCAGTTTTTTTTTTTTTTTTGATATCCTGTTCTCATTTCTCTTTGCATTTTTCAAGTTCCAACCTGCACTCTTGTAATGGTACCTAAGTATTTTCTAAAACACTGTTTACTGAGAATTCAGATTACAAGGAATATTTTGGTGGAAAGATTTATTCCATCTATATCTATACAAACACATTTTATACTTGAACATAAAGTTAATATATTGCTAGATATTACCATTAGCCAAGAGCTTACATCACAGGTAAAGCTAAATATAGGGTAAATTAAATGCTGAAGTTGAGTACTAAGATTTAAAGCTTAATTGACATTGTACGTGATTATAGAGATAATTCTACTCTTCTTTTTTTTGGTTATTCTTTTTCTCCATGGAACATTTAAAAATAATCCCCTCAAAATGTTTAACATAAAAAGCAGCTATCAATCTTAAAGGCCCCAATAAAGTTGCTTCTATGGCTACATCAACTAAGGAGCAAAAGGGGCTCATTCCTATACATAAGGTAGTCACAATAAATCCTTCCAATCCAACATGGCTAAAAAAATGTCCTCTCAAGGCATCATCCATAAGTTTTTGTGCTACAGCTTCTGGAGCCAACAGTCCTCCAGATTCTGATAATAATTTCGTTTCTTTAGGTTTTGATTTGTTCTCAGTCTCAAACCCAGGAGTGTCTGTGTCTGGAGGTAAAGCGAGTGTCACACTTACATTATAAAGCTTAAGTTCTTGATACAAAGACTCTGCTAAGCCTCTTAAAGCAAATTTGCATGACGAGTAAATAGAATAACCAAACAGGCCCATTAGTGAGACAACTGAGCCTGTTAGTACTACAATTCCCTCTTGACGCTCTTTGAATCTTGGCAATAAGGCTTGAATAGGATAAATTGTGCCTAATAAATTAACATTTATGAGTTGGTTAATGTCTTTTTTAGTCATTTCCTCAAGTTTTCCACATATAGCCAAGCCAGCACAGTTCACCAACATAAAAACAGGTCCAACGCTTTTCTCAATTTCCAAAATTTTTTCTTCAATTGCCTCTTTATCAGAAACATCTACAGAAATAGTGGTTACTATTTGATTTGCAGTCTGTGATTCAATTTCTTTTTTGGCTGCTTCTAGTTTTTCGATATTTCTAGCGATTATCGTAACGTTGGCCCCTTTTCGAGCCGCCAACACTGCTACAGCTTTTCCTATACCACTTGAGCCTCCTGTTATCACTACATGTCGCGATTTCAGGGATTTAGGAGATGGTTTGGTTAGAAATTTTAGGACTACAACAATGAAAATAAGGACTACTACTATTGAAATGTAGAACATGTTGGTGTATATATAGTAAAATGGAAAAAACAGTCTCAGGTCTCAAGCACAAATGTACAAATCAAATTTTTGTTTTTCCAACTATTATTCTAACCTCACTTTTGAGTCTGTCAAATGCTTCTGACTTTTCTCAGTCTATTTTGACAATCCGTGCGTTCGGTATTACGATCTGAGTTCTAGCTTGAATTTACCGTTCGTTCATTTAAAAAGTGTGCTCGGTGCAGGCTCATTCACGTTCGGTTATTAAAATTTCGAACGCTCTGATTCAGCGTTCCTAATCAAGGATGATACATGATACACACCTACAGGATTGCTTATCGGCCTCGTTTTTGGTAATCGCCGCCATATTGGTGTGTCACCATTTCCGACGTCATAACTAAGTTGTCAGCTGTTCAAACAGCCTACGTCAAGGCGCGAAATAACATGCTGCCTACGCCACAACTGGTGATTTCGCTTGGAGGGGAAGGGGGGGATTTGTTATCTTACACACAGGCCTTATGAGGATAGGCCATCCTGTAGTAGTAGCGTGTAATATCCTTGGTTCCTAATGGCATAAAAAAATACGCAAGAAAAAAAATGGCGGTTCGATCAATGAAGCGATTAATAGTTATTTATGTATCAAGGGAATTACGAGAGTGTTAATACCCCAGGGCAACGTTTGTGTTAGTTAGACACCAATTGCCCATGGGCATGGGTATTATTAACCATAGTATTAACACCTAAATAACGGCCGGCGGTTGTTAAATATACTTTTTCGATTTCAATTTCGGTCATGTTATATTAAGATAACAGTACAGTATCACTAAATAGTTATTTATGTATCAAGGGATTTATGAGGGTGTTAATACCCCAGGGCAAAGTTTGTGACACCAATTGCCCGTGGGTATTAACCATTTGATAATTCCCGTGGTACATAGATAATTTTATATCCTACGGAATTAACTGTATTCTGTCTATTTTTATAAAGGAATAAGCCATAAACCAACATTTCTATTTTTCTCAAAGTTTTACCTATTCAAGGTAAAAGCGGGAGTTATGGAAATCCTTAACTCCCTTGGGAGTTATGATATCTATAACTCCCGCGCGGGAGTTATGAAATCCTTAACTCCCTTGGGAGTTAAGACCCTGTTTATGAGTTATGACTATTGTAACCAAGGTATTATATGGTTATAATAGTACAGTAGGATATAAAAATTTTAAACTTCTTTGGAGGGGGTTGACCATGTTTTTCAATTTTTACACCTTTTCGATTTTAATTCCGCTATTTCCGCTCATGTTTACTCACGTTATAGTTAGTAAGATAACAGCAAAGTATGACGAAAAATTTGAAAAAGGATATTGCATAAGGCTGTTAGATTATTAATCAATTAAATGATGAACGTGCATACATCCAATGACATCTTAACAGAGACACCGCATCTCAATCATAAACTGATGTTTGTTGTGACGACAAAACCCTTCATGTTGCTCACAAGATCCGCCTTCCCGCCTGAACCCGTCATTCACTTGACCCAAATATTGAAGAAAGCCGCAAGGATGCAACTTGTTTATCTATCTATCTGCCTCTAACTCATATGATAATGATATTCACACATTCCTTGGGCGTGTTGAAATGTCTCTGGTTGAAATGCCAATCGATTGCAGCTACTTCATTGATTGATTGCAGCGCGTTTTTCACTTGTTTCACAAAACCAGCGTTGCCAGTAGTCGTTTTTAGTCTTGGGAGCTTCAGTTTTTTGAAAGCAAACTCATAACAGGATAAAATCGATCCGCAACAAATTGGCAACCTAATTGTGGAGGGGATAATCCGGAGGTGGATCGCTCTCCTAAGATGTTGGTGACACAAAATTTTGTTTACTATAATGTCTATCTATGCTAATTTGTCATTGGATATATTCCCCACCAAAATAATAAATTGGAAATAGGGGTTTGTAGAGCTGGTCATATAACGGGTGGTATCAATACAGGCAATATCAACAAGAGTATGGCTACGCTATTCTACGACTAAATACTAGGTACACCATGAAAATCATTCAGGTGTATGCACCGATCTCTGAACACAACAAAGATGAAATATAAGCATTATTCCACAAGACATCTGTAGAGCTACAGAGAAGATAAAAAAAACTAACTTCATGGTACTATGCGAAGACTTCAACGCCAAAATTGGAATGAAACCAGTTGGGTCAACTGAGGCCGCACTCGGAAAATTTGATATTCCAGGTAGAAATAAGCATCGGAAATAAGCGTAGAGAAACAATGTTGAGAAAAATCTATACGATATGAATAGCTTCTACCGCAAAAAGATCCAAAGAAGATGGACTTGGCAAAGCCTCAATGCCTCAATGGCAAGACACAAAACGAAATCGAATACTTTGTAACAGATAAAAAACAGATTTTCAAAGCTGTGTCAGTTATAAACAGATTTGCTACTGGAAGTGACCACCGCATGGTAAAAGCTACTCTGCAAATAAACCTCGAAAATGAACGAACCAGACTCCCAGAACATGGACACACCCAAAGGAAATAAGAGATTTTCAAAAACATATCGAAACTCCTTGAAAAACAAAGCAACAACTCAAAGTATAAATTATTTAAATGGAAACATAATTGAAACATTAATGGATGCATAGGAGAAGTACTGCCCAAAAGTCCCTAAACAAGAAAAAAATCAGCCCAGGAACCGAAGTAAAAATAGAAGAACGTAGAGCACTTAAGGGGAAATCAAATTCCGACCAACAAAAACTGAGAGAAATTAACAAAGACATATCAAAGGCACTAAAGAAAGACATCAGGAAATGCAGATATGACAAAGTAGTACAAACAATAGAACAAAACAAAAGCCTGAAAATATTGTGAAAGGAACTAGGTAACAAAAATTTTCCAAGTTAAAAACAAGGAAGGGAACATAACATCAAATAAAGAATAATTAATAAAATAAAGATCATAGAAAAATCTTACCAAGAACTGTACATAAACAAAAAACCTTATCCCGACCTCACAAGTCATAATCTACACAAAATACAAAACGAAGGATCAGAAGACATTCCCGATATCACCAAAAGGAAATTAACTATGCCCTGAAGAAAATAAAAAAGAACAACGTGCCTGGGGAAGACAAAGTAGTGGCAGAGCTATAAAAATGGGGGATCTGTGTTAATTAGAAAAGATACAAAAGCTTTTTAACCTATGTTTAGACAACCAACAGATCCCGTCTAAGGGCCGGTTTCTCAATAGCGAGTCACCTCCGGTAGGGATGCCACCTTGGAAAGTAAGTTGAACCGGAGAAAAAAATACCCTTATTGAAAAAAAAAAGCTGAAAAAAAAATCCTACAAATCTGATAACAGATGCATTATTAGGTACACTCTATCTATACACAAGTCTCCCCTGGCATCACCGGATGATGTTTCAGGGTTGGGAGTTGAGACGGTTGGAGAGGGAGATTCCAGGATTATTAATTACACACTACACAGGATAGGACAATCATAGGATACCCTATCCGCATGTGGCCTCTGTAGATCAAATCTCAAGCACCCCACCATGTCAAAGCATCAGTGATGACGTAGACAGCGTGTCGTTCCTCGTCTTGACTGGCGACGGGATCAATCGTTAGTCAAGTCCTTGTTAGCAAACCACAACCTCAGAATGTGCCAAACAAAAACAATCTCGTATTGACATTGACAAATCTGAGGTTTTTGTTAATTAACAAGGAATTAACTAAGGATTGATCTAGCCGCACGCAACATTTTAAAACAACCCTTTATATGCCAGTTTTCCGCCAAACAGATAAAACAAAAACAAAACCCAGACTCAAACTTTTCCCAAACATTTTCAAGACTAGAGTGTTTTGACACAGTTGGAATTTTGTTTCGTCGAGAAAACATAACGTAGTCCGCTTGATGGAAACAAGACTTTTGTGTTTATTTCAGTTCTGCTTTTGTTTTAAAACACAAACTCAACAGTCCGTTTAGTGGAAAACCGGCATTAGATCTCGTTTGCATCTTCCGCTTTGCTTATTAATTATGTTAATCAAAATCAAATAATATTTTTCATCATAAATGTATATTCTTAACTACGGCCGCTGGCGCAAACCGCTAACGACACAGTAGATGACGTCGACAATGGTGAAACACCATATGAACTTGATTCAAAAAATTGAGGCCGATGAGCAATCCTGTGGTAGTGTGTAATTAATATACCTAGTGTAGCCCAAGTTCAGAAATGTGCGCTTTCCAACGCTCGTGACGACGCCGACGAAACAGTAAACAGCCTAATCAGGAGGTGCACCCTAGCAAAATACCCATGGAGTCAAAAAGTTTCCCCTTTGAATGCAAAATTGACGTGTCCGAGCGTTTTTTTTTTTAAATCGAACCTGAAATACCCCAAAACGCATCTGTTTTGATGTTCGTGAAACATCCTGTATAGAATGTTTGTCCTGGCAAGGCTAGTCTTGATTCTTGAATAAACGGGCCTTGAGTTTGAACGTCTTGGGTTGCAAAACTAGCAATAGATTTTTTCTATTTCTAGATCAGTGGTGGAGGTTCAGGTCGACGATGCGGAGGTCAAGGCGACATGTTGGGTGGAGCCATGTCAACTTTTTTAGCTTGGGCGTTGGACAAAAAATGGGAACCTGCCGTCGCCTGTTACGCTGCCAGCAAGCTGACACGAGACTGCAACGCAAAAAGTTTCGCCAAATACGGACGAAGTATGTTGGTGACCGACATGATTCACGAGCTGCCTGAGGTTTTCAGGGAAAATTTTGAATTGAAAGACGAGCAATTTAATTAATTTAGTCAGGGACGAAAACCGCTTTTTTGAATAGGGATTAAAGGTGTTTTTGCATTTTGTTATTGTTGGCCTATGATAAGAAATATATTTTTTTGTTGGTAACCTTAAGATTGTTGCTCTTATTTGTAACTTTGTAGGGTACCTACCCAGGTCTGGAAATTTCGCAGATATATAATTCAAGAAAAAAATCCCTTCTAACTTTTACATGGCACTTGATAGATTTTTTAAGCCTAAATACCTATTAGGAGAGTCATTCAGCTGTGTATTTTTTTAAATTTATGTATTTGTAAACATTTCTGTAACCAACCTGAATAAATCTTGAAAATCTGTAGTTTTCAAATAAAACAAATACATTTATTGATTACTGACCCATATTTATTGAAAACAAACTCAAGCATATTCCTATAAATTAATAAATACATAATTAGCAACTAAATAGTAATTGAATTCTAAAACAATAGGTAATAGGTACAAAAACCAATAAGAATAGATAATTATTATGAATAATTGCATGAACAAACTTTACTTTCCTTTTTGTTCAACAGGTTGGGCTTGTTGTGGCTGCGCTTTGGCCGGTTCTCCAGTTTGGGTAATTGGAATGGTCTTATGCTCAATTTCCATTTTCTCAACAGTTGGAGCAGTGATGGTCAAAACTCCGTCAGAAGACAAACTGGATGTAATTTTTCCCATATCGCAGTTCTTTGGCAAAACATATCTTCGCACAAAATGCCTGGAAATATATCCATGCTCGTCCTGTTGTTCCTCGTGCTTTCCTTCAATGGTCAAAACATTTTCATCGGTAACTTTGACGGTAATTTCTTCCGGTTTAAATTGTTGAACATCCAAGTTGGCTTGGAACTTGTCTTTGTCGAAACTCACTGTGGAACCGGTGTCTTGGTTAGCAAGTTCAGAACGCCAGTTTCTCAAATAACCAGCTGGGGTTCTTGTCAGCAAACGGTTGTTCAGATTCAAGGGTTGGAAAATATCGTCGTGGTTGAGTCCAAGTCCAAAGTGTTGGTCCAGGATTCTGGATGGCCTGCTGACTGGGTAGTCGAATGGGTCACTGAGCAAGAATGGAATCAGAGACATTTTTCTTCAATAATAAACACTGTAGACTCTTCAAGAAGATAATACAGGATCACACACAATTTTATACGCGAGAACTCTTTTGTCGTTATTTTCAGGTTTATCGTTTCACTTGTAAACAAACTCTGATCATTGCGCAAGCTGGCGGACAATTTATATGGTGTTGCGGTAGGTCTAGAATATGCGCGAAAATGCTCTGTTCTGCACAGCTGTTCATAGAATATTGTGATTCTAGATTCTATTAGACTTGAATTTTTATTGGAACTAAATTATTAATTTCCAGAATACTCTGCGTGGGTTGGTTTTTGTTTTGTCATTTTCGTAATTAAAAGCATAATTCGTGTACAATACTGTTGAATTTCCTGAATTATTGGAATCGGGTGTTTTCAGGGAGGGGTAGAAATATGAACAAAATACCTAGGTACCTACCTAAATTCTGCTTACCTATTCGCTTATTTTAAAAATCTCATAATGGGCTTAAGAGCATTTTTGATTTAACCTGTTTGTGTAACTTTTTGGCGGGGGTATTGAACAAAATTCGTTTTCTGTAGAAATATTTTTTGCATCGAATTTGTAAAATTATATTATAGCAAAATAAAAAGATACACAGACAAAAGAAGAGAAAAAATCAAATAAGTATTTGTATTGTTTACCTAAAGTCTGTTATTCTTTTAAAGATAACTCCCCGAATCCGCAAGTCAAAAATTTAGTACCTACCTAACTATGTTGGCAACACAAGCCTTTTGTATGTACATAATTTTTTTTAAAGCATTGACAATATTTTACACTGTATTGCCAACATAATTAATGTTATTTTGTATCTTTAAAAAAGAAACAGACTTTTTACCTTAAGACGTATGCCTTTCTATATTTCCAGATCCAATGAACAGTTGTTGGGATGTGACAAACAAAGTACAGTGGTCCAACTTTGTGAATCATACGAGAACAAAGTTTATTAAAAAAGATCATTGATTTAAAAACATCAATACAAAATGCTCCTAATTTCTTTAAATTTCATCGAAAAAATGCTAAAAGCTAGTACACAATGCATATAGAGGCAGAAATTTTTTTGTTGAATTAAAATGATCAATTAGGTATCCTTCCAATTTTTGAAGTGAAAACTTTTATAAGGCCCATGAATTTCCTTGAGCACACTTTTTTGTGGGTATATACTGAATGAAACTGAGCCATGAAGCTCGTATATGTAACGCTCATTTGGAGACTCAAGTCGAATTCAGCCAAACGCGAGAGGAGAGAAACAGTCATTTCATTTTCTTCAAAGTTATATTTTTGACAATAATTTTTAAAAAAATCTTGGCGTGTAATTAAATACAATACGAGTGTACTCATTGTAAATGTAAATGAAATTTTTATGTTTCATAAAGATATAATCTAAAGTATATCCAGCAAATCAATTTGAATCAAAAAGTATATTCATCACTCATCTTTTAGTAGGTAACCATAATAACTATTGTTTCATCTTAGAGTACTATGATACAATAAGGGTCAACGGAAGATCTGCACAATGAATATAGAACACAGAAAAATACCTGTTATTCCATATCATTAATCTCGCCTAATTGTTTTCACTTTTGTCGTGTGTTCGTAATCTCAAGCACACCCCTTTTTTTTCAAATACAGGGTGTCCCAAAAAGATACCGACAAACTTTAAGGGGTAGTAGGGGACATCAAAACAAGCATTTTTGTTTATATAAACATATGTCCACAAATGAGCCATTTGAGCTGTAGAGCAAAAAAACTGTTTAATACTTTTATTCTTCGCAATAATTAAATCACTGTTTACTTATTAATTTTGCTTTATCATCAAATAAATTCTGGTTTACAATAACTGTTCAAAATGTTGACCATCTACTTCAATGCAAAGATTGCACCGTCGGGTCATTGATTGAAAAGTTTAGTCTACGAAACACCTGTTCGTAATGAGGAAGATCTGTTAGCAAGGATACTGGCGAGTTGTACCCATGTAGAAGCTATTCCCGGAATATTCCAAAGAGTTCGCGAGTTGAACAATTATTGTAAACCATAATTTATTTGTTAATAAAGCAAAATTAATAAGTAAACAGTGATTTAATTATTGCGAAGAATAAAACTAAGTACAAAACAGTTTTTTTGCTCTACAGCCCAAATGGCTCATTTGCGGACATATGTTTATATAAACAAAAATGCTTGTTTTGACGTCCCCTACTACCCCTTAAAGTTTGTCGGTATCTTTTTGGGACACCCTGTATGTGAAATACATATTAACGGTGACGTCACGACTCACGAGGGCTCCAACGTTTAGCGACAAACAACAAACACATCTTCAAGGAGGTGTCGGCAAAAGTACCTGTCCATTTACACCCGGTTCTATAGAACCGATGAACCCAAAGAATTGCCTTTGGGCGATGAAACCCTGTTGTAACGCAAGCAACCTAAAACAGGCTCAACCATAGACAGAAGAGCAAATTGTTTTGAAGAAATCGAATATAAAACGTAAGGAAATTACCTACCAAACAAAAATTAGAAGAAGTTCAGCTTAAACCTAGCAAACCCCCAAGATCTCAGACAACTTCAGCTAAGTACCTAGCTTTAATAACAGTTGATCAACAAGAAACTATTACAAAAGAATGGAGAAAGTCTGGTCGCAATTATTATAATCTTCTCAAACAAACATCGGTAGAAGTAGACATACTTAGATACAGTTTCAACTAAAGCTCAACAACAAATCGTTGAAAGATCATCAGTTCCCCAGCCACAATAAGCTAAAATAATCCCTTGGCTTGAGGAAAAAATAACTCTTAAAACAGCACCGAAAGAACCGCAATAGCCAAATCTAAAGAAATTCCCAAGGAAAAACTTGAAGAAGTGGACCTTAAAACAGTTTCATTAGAAGCAATTCAAGCACTAAAATTAGCTAAGCTTGAACAGCCTAGACAACCAGGTGAGCCTATTCCTTGGACTGATGAGGATATCGATTTGAGACCCACAGCCCATAGGGGATTCTATAAGAAACTTTAGAAGCAATTCATTTGAAACCAGTTCATCTTCCTGGCCAGGAAAAAAAAACCTCCTATAAGACTTGAAAGCGAACTAATACCCTGACCAGAAAAAGAAATTATTTTAAAGCATTCCTTGTTGGAAAAGAAAGATATTCTAAAAGAAACTATTGAAAAAGTTACCGTAAGACAAGCTATTAAAGTATCCGAGTTAGGGACAGTGATAGAAAACCCAGAGGACTGACCTTGGACTGAAGAAGATATTTCCTTAAAACCAACTGTAGTAGAGAAGAAAGAAATTCATTGAACAGGTGCGCCTCAAGCCTAGCCCTATTAAGGAAAGCATTGAACCCTAGAAAACAAAAACTCTCCAAAGCCCAAATTCAGTTCACAGAGGATACAACTTTATTAGATCTTAAAGAACACGTCCGTGAATCTCTGTAATCTAAACACAAATTAAAGCTTGGGAAAGAGGCAAGAAAGAGCAAACAGTACTATCTCATGTAGAAGACCAAGAAATATTGAATATTGAAGAAAAAACTACCGAGACAGTAAAACGACAAGAAGAAACTAGGCAATGGCCTCGAGGAGTGAAGTCGCACTAGCAAGAAGCCGAATAACCGAAAAATCTGTTGTTTGGAATGAACAACCAATAACGTTGAAGAAATCTACAATTGAAAGACAGCAATAAGTCATTGAAGAGCAACTTGAGCAGAGCAAGAGGAACTAAAAGCAAGACCTACCGAAACAAAACAAAAATTTATTGAAGATAAAATTCTCTGTTGACACTCGAAGAAAGAGAATCACGCGAAACACGGATAGAACAACAGAAAACTCAAGAACAGCCTACAAATATTGCTTCTAATCAACAAACATTAGAAGCAAAAAGTTGAAAAGAACGAAATCTGAAGAAAGGCCAGATGAAACTATTCCAATTAAAGCAACACATTAAAGATAAAACTCTGCTAATCTTGATAGATAAAAAAAAAAACTTCAGAAACAACATGGACCAAAACCCCAAAAAAAACTAGTTGAAGTTGGTTCACTACAACATATCGAAGACAAAACTATTTTGAAGTTGAAAGAAAAACGTCAAGATGTCGGAAAAGAAGCAACACTTGAACCAAAATCATGGAAGATAGGGCCAACAAAGCAACAATAGAAACGTCAGAACGAGAAGTCCCACTGCAACACGTCGAAGACAAAACCATTTTAGACTTAAAAGAGAAAGAAGATGTCAGAAAGGGAGAAAAACTTGAACGAAAATCATGGAAAAAAAGGCCGAAGCAACAAGAAAAGCCAGACGAAGTTGCGCCTCTGCAACACGTTGAAGACAAAGCCATTTTGGACTTGAAACAAAGAAAAGAAAAAATTGAACCAATACCATGGTGAAGAAGACAAAAATCACTGATCTAAAAAATAAATGGATAAATAATCATACGGGTTGATTGGCAAAATTTGTGCGTTTTGGGGTCAATATTCTACGAACAGTTGTGCAACGGAACAGCCTAAAGGCCGAAACCCACTAGCAACACGCCACGCCATACTACGCCACTCCACGCCATGTGACACAGGTTCACGTGGGACAGGGGACAGTTTGTGTGTAAATGGACAGATGGCGTGGCGTGCCATGACGTGGTATCGCGTGGGGCAAGTGTGTACGCGACACATATAAATAAATGGAAGAATATACGCATACATTTTCGTCACATGGCGTGGCGTGGCGAAGCATGACGTGGCGTGTTGCTAGTGGGTTTCGGCCTTAACGCCTGCGCAGTGTCTTATCTTTCGAACAACTGTTCTAAATTTTGAAATTCCTTCATTTTCATTATCCAGACTTTGTGCACACACAGTCCTAAATCTACTGCGCACGCTCACAGCTGTCCGAGTCAGTTGTTTTTGTTTAGATTATGACCTCGTAAATTAGCAGCATTAGAAGCGTTCTTTGTTTATCCATTTATTTTTGAGATCAGTGACAAAAATCCGGAGAAGAAAGGCCACAAGAACCACTCGAAGCCAAATCCTGAAAACGTGGTCCCAAAGTTAAAGATGAAACTATTATAACTGAATTAGGTACCTACCCGAAATAATTCATGAAATGACTAGAGTTTCCGAAGGCACTGCAACAAACCAAGAAACATGTTTTGAGAACACACGAAGTTGTTGAGAAAACTACCTACATTGTCACTTTGGAAGAAGAAGGCAAGAAGCCCCAATCTACAGTAACCATTGAGGAAAAACCAATAGTTGATGCAATTCAACCCATTTATATCGTACAAACATGAGACGCCGCGCCGGTTTAAAGATAGTAGGTACCTACCTATTTAATTTAAAACCCATTTTTACTTTTACCTTTGTGACAACCATTTTATAAAAAAAAAAAAATAACTTTGGAATTTTGGAAAGATAAGTTTAATTATGAGGAGTTTTCAGGTAAAAATTAGAATGTATATTTAAGCAATATTTTTCTCCTCAAAAACTTGTTTTGGCCTATTTTATGATATTTAGCCCACTGCCTAACGTATGTTCCAATGGGTTCGATATTTTTAGGGAATTTTCTAGACAACATGGCGGCTGCATATAAATGCGGAAAAGCGGCTCCCGACGTCCACAGTTGTCGAGAATTGGAACGCGTGCTTAATAAAAAGTTGTGCAAATTTATCTTTATCATGGCTTTGTTGCCGTTCTTGTTTAAAGAAACATTTCCTCTTCCAACCAGAGATTATTTATCCATATTTGCCCCAGAAGAAGACTCTCTTCGCTTGAGAAACTCTATCAATCAGTTGGCAAATTTGGAAAAAGACACTTCCATTACCGTTGACAAGGACCAATTTCAAGCCAACATCGACGTCCAACAATTCACTCCTGAAGAAATCACTGTGAAATTGGAAGATGATAATACCGTCACCGTAGAAGGCAAACATGAAGAGAAACAGGATCAACATGGATACATTTCCAGACATTTTGTAAGGAAATACGTGCTTCCAGAACATTGAGACGTTAAAAAGTTGCAGTCGAAATTGTCCAGTGATGGAGTTTTGAGTATTTCAGCGCCGAAAAGAAGGAAAATAACTAAACAGAAATACAGGGAAATTCCTATTGTGAGGACAGGGCCTTTGAGGAAACTTGGAGTAGGCAAACATAATAATAAGAATAATGTTTAGATTCACAACTCGATTACTCTCCTTTTTTCAGTACCTAGGTATTTATTTAGATTAGTTTTTGTACTTATTTTTTTAAGAATACCTGTATATTTTGTGTTAGATGTATCATTAGAATATTTAATAAATGAACTGCTTTCATAAAGATTTGATTGGATAATTTTCAGTTTAGTCAAAAAAAAAAACTTTCCAAAAAATCCCCGAATTTTAAAATCGAGTATACTTAAAGTCTAAAGTCTGTTTTTTTAATGAAGACAAAATTTTGCGTTTGTTTGTCCTTTAGTCCTTTTCACGTGGTCCGGTTTAAACTAACCGGGTTACAAAACGGTTAGTAGCGGTATGTCAAGTATGACATACCGTTTTCTAACCCGGTTACAAAGTGAAGTGATCGATACCACTCGAATTTGAGCGGTATGTTGCGGTTTGCTAAACCGGAGCCACGTGAAAAGGGTTTTTGTTTTATTCGATCTGCTCGGAGCAGACCTAACAAATACAAATGAAAACCTTTATCCTATGTGGAGTAAAATTTGACGTCTTTTGATCTTGTCATCTTTTACTTATATCCGTTTGTGATTTTGTTTTTAATGTTTTAATTTTAAATTAATTTAAACAATAAAAAATACAACAAATGAATAATTCGATACTTAATTTATAAAACCTGCTCACTGACTTGTAATTTTTTTCAGTGACGTGGATAATAACAAAATAAACACGTTATATTATTTACTTCTGTAATTTACAAATTTTTAAACTAGAATTACTAGAAAACCTCACATTTATCAAAGAAAATTATGTTTGATATTTCTGATACTCAAAGTATGTATGTGAAAAATATCCAAGTTGTATTTATTTTTTAAAAAATGGTTTTTAGAGATTGGCGTAGGCCTTGCAGGCTTTGGAGTGTTTTTCCTCTTTTTGGGAATGTTAATGTTATTTGATAAGAGCTTGTTGGCCTTAGGAAACGTAAGGAGATTCTAAAACTAATTAAACACATATTTGAAATAGTCGTGAATTTCCAGATTCTATTCATATCAGGATTGGCAGCTGTAATAGGTAGAGAAAGAACATTCAGATTCTTTTTCCAGAGACACAAATTAAGAGGAAGTTTTGCTTTTTTTGGTGGAATTATTATGGTTTTATTAGGATGGCCCATGGTTGGGATGATACTTGAAGCCTATGGCTTTTTCTTGTTATTCAGGTGAGAATCATTACAAAGATTTTTACAAAAAAAAAAGCAATAGCAATGGAGATTAATGAACATCCATGTATGTTTAAGCTTTGACCTTTATTGTGTGCTATCTGTTTATTGCCAATTTCTATTACCAAACAATTCGAGGCTCCTGGGCTGAAACTCTGTAATGGATAGAGATCTTTATCCCTATCGCTATGGCACTTGCTGTCTTCTTCTCTCTTTTCGAAATCAATAGAGAGGGGACGTTAATAGAGATAGAGAAATCTCTATCAGTTACAGAGTCCCAGCCCAGGTCTTTTCTCAGAGATAAGGCCATGAACGGGGCAAACCTAATGGAATAATAACTATCTGAGTAGCCAACTGTAGCCATAATCAAAATAATAACTCAAGCAAACCTCAACTAAAGCATTTTAGAGTCAAATAATCAAAGCATGCTTTATTGTCCAAAATCGAGTCCAAAATATACAGTATTTTTTTTTTTTTTTGAAATATTGTAGAAGCTCAAAATTTGAATACAGTACACGCTCTATAATATGAACACTCGTATAAGTGAACAACGCGGTTTTGTGAACACAATACTTTGCATATTGGGTACTTTATAACGTGAACAGCAAGCCGCTCTATAATATGAACAATTGGTCAATATTAAGATCAATATGTTTCAAATCGATTACTTTGGTGAATTGAAAGTTTTATTTGATTGGGTTGCTGTTTTTTAGTGTGTCTGAACGAGAATTTTTCAGCAACCACTTGATAGTGGTTGTGCAACTTTTCCTTTTTACTTGATGATCTATTAGATTTGGAAAATACTCACAGGATATTTTATACAGTTTCATGGAAAAACAACTTAACAAAAATTTCTCACTTCCCATCTTTGCAGTTGGCAAAAAAAATGTATTTGATATTGAAGATATTTTCACAAACCAGTCAGAGCGTTTTTGATTGGTGCAAATAGCTAACAACCAGTTTTCTGACTATTTTCAACCAATGATTCCAGTGAAATTCGCTCCGACTTGTTTTGTAATTTCTGTGAGAAGAGACCTATAGTTAGCATTTAGTGTACTTTTGTCAAACTTTCCGATAAATAATAATCATATGTTTGCATTTTTGTTTAGTTTAAACAGAAAAAAAGAGACTCATTAATGTAAACAATTGGTAATATGAAAAGGGTCTGTACTTTTCGTGTGTACGTTACCAAGCTTGTACTGTACTTACATTCCCTTCTCCTATTATTATTTCTCAAAGTTATTTATTTCTCTCATTTGTGATCCACACATCCTCTACACTAGACTTATATGAAAATTGTATTAAAAGTTTTGTTGATGAAATACGCCTAAGAAAACTAAGTAAGCCACTTCATTTTATTTTATTATTGTATTCTAGTGGATTCTTCCCAGTTGCTATAAACTTCCTGAGGAGGGTGCCTATATTAGGAACACTTTTAAATATGCCTGGAATTAGTAAAGTAAGTACCTAATTGAAACATGTTATTGTACTGTGGAATGAGTCAAATGACTCTGTTTCGAAACATGAGAAGTTAGAGCTTATTAACAATTATTAAAGTCTTTTATACAATATTCATTTCATTAATTGTTAACATAAAATTAACATATGTATGTCAAATCAAATTGACAAAAGTAATTTCTATAGTCTTTGTACTGTTATTTGTTTGGCACACTAACAAAGTGTTACACATTCATATTATTTGTTGCCTTTTTTGAGGTATCGAGTCTTAAAATCAACCATTATCTGAAATACATTTGGATATGGTGCTTTATCACCCAAGTTCTGTAGTCATTTGATTCAACCACTCGCCTCGATAAATCTGTTTAGGATTATCTTTTTCTATTTTCAGATAGTTGATAAATTGGCTGGAGACTCCAACAGAACAAAGGTCTAGTTAATGGTGTTTATAGAACTGGTTATGTGGTGTAACTTATTTTCTTTATTTTTGGTAATTGTACATATTGAAAACTAATTATAAGGAGCAGGTAATGAATTGTTGAGTGTAAAAGTTAGCTCCTTATATTTTTTTATTTTTATTAAGTATAAGATGGTCCAATAATAAATCTAAAAAAAAACTTAAACCAAAATTTAGTTGTGTACCAAATTATTTTTTTTAATTCCTCACAAAAGGTTTTCCTGGCTTTAATTATTTATTTATTTTATTTATTCAATATACGGGTTCACCCCTTTATTACAAAATATTACTACTACAATAATTATTATATTTACTAACAGGATTTAAAACTGAAAAAATCAACATTTTACAAAATTCACTAGTTATAGGCTCATTGCATGCAAAAGATTAAAATATAGTATCAGTTGTGTGATTTACACAAGTTAACACTAACACTAAGAGACAGGTACAATGTAGGTTCCCTTACAAAAGGGTACCAAAACGTCACCCGTTTAGAGAATTACAATTACAAAACGGGATTGAATTGCCGGAATGAAACTCCAGTTACCTCAAAATTGTGTTTATTTACTAGTCTAGGGAATCTAGATAGAGGGCTGTTATATGTATAATTGCTAGAATGATACGGAATGTGAAACAAATCGATACTACAATTGTTCCGTGAAGGAACCCTGAAGCATTAACTGTTCGTGTAGATCCGGACAGTCTTTATCACCAGACATTAACTTGACAATGGTACAAAGGTCACAAGAAATTCGATCAGACTTGAGACTATTAATGGATAGGATGTTTCGCGTATCTTCATACGTCATACGTCCATTGATCCCGAGGAATTTGGAGTCTGAATCCACAATAATGTAAAAATTCATTTTAAACAGATTCAAGCCTGTCTATATGTATTTGATAAATAGGGATCCAGACTGGAGAGGCATAATTTAGTATACTTTTCACCAAAGAAATATATAAATGACGTACAGTTGGAACAGAAAAATCAGAACAGTTACGCAAAACAAACCCCAGCCAGCCTAGTGAATGCCCTGGATGATAGCGCATTTATGTGAGGAACCAAAGACATTTGGCTGTCGAAAATAACTCCCAAGTCAGGTATTTTGTCTACTCTTTTAAGAGATGAATTATCTATATTATAATTAAAAAGTATTGGACTTTTACTTCTAGTGAATGTTATACAGTGACATTTATCAATGTTTAGCGACATGTCATTACTCTTGGACCACCCATTAGACATATTCAAGTCGCGCTGGAGATTAAGACAGTCACCGACATTATTTATCTCTGAGTATATTATGCCAGTCATCAGCAAAAAATAAAGGCTTACAGAAAGTGAAGCATTTAGTTAAGTCCATTATGAATAGTACAAAAAGTAATGGGCCCAAATGAGACCCTTGAGGCTCACCTGACATAGCTGATATTTCAAGTGAACAGAAATTATGAATTTTTACTGGTTGCACTCGTCGTGACAAATTACCTTTTAAGCCATTTTAGTAAGTATGTGGGAAACCCCATTGCCTTTAGCTTTGTCAGTAAAATTGAGTGGTTAACAAGATCAAAAGCCTTACTATAATCAGTATATATTGAGTCCATTTGTGACAAGTTACCCAATGATGAAAGAATGTCTTGCTCATAGACCAAAAGGTTATGCACAGTAGATCTTTGGGGTACAAATCCATGCTGAGATGGATCAATAATACTACAATGCCACTGTAGATAGGGTATCAGGAGCTTTTCAAAAAGTTTAGGAACCGACGACAAAATCCTTATTGGCCGATAATTCCTAATATCATGTCTGTCCAAAGTCTTAAATATTGGCAAAACGTAACTAGACAACCAAACTACTGGAAACTTGTGTTCTAATAATGACCTATTAAAAAAAATGCAGAGGCTTAGCAAGAGAATAAACACATTTCCTAAAGAAGAAAGGTAGTAGCTTGTCCGGACCTGAGCTGAGTTTGTTAGGCAATGAATGTATTCCAACGAACACCTCTTGTAAACTAAATTCCATTTGCCAGATATTCACAACTACAGTTATATTAGCATCATCAATATTAAAATCAGTGTTAGAGTTATCAGTTATCACGATAACAGTTTAAAAAATGAGTAGCAAAAAGATTTGAAATATCAGAACCTCATCAGAACCATTCGAATCTGTCACATTGTTGAGATTCATGGCAGAGGAAATGCCATCATTTTTCGACCTTAATGAATTAAACCATTTCCAAAAACCTTTAGGATCAGTATTTATATTGTTCTCAGTAATAGCTATATAATCCCCAACCTCTGGCCAAGGGGAATTGTCATTAACCATTTTCAGAATCTACAGAGACGCATCGGCAGATACAGGCCAGCGGTAAAAATCAACTAACAAACACTAGTTCATACAGTCTGATTCACCTCAATGTCCAATCTATTGGAACGAGCATAAACCACTTATAAATGCTCTAGCAGCTGAAAATGAAAACTGCATTGCCCTGTGTATAACAGAGCACTGGAAAAACAAAGAACAGCTCAAAGCATACAATATTACCAACTACAGTCTTATGTCATGCTTTTGCCGGAACAAGGATGAACATGGAGGTTCAGCTATATATACACATACAGATGTTGTATGTAAAACAAGAGAAGATATATCAAGACTATCTGAAAAAGCTACTTTTGGATGCTCTGCTGTTGAATTTATGATGGGTGGCTGGTGGCTCCTGCTATGTAATCATGAATGTCTACCGGACCGAGGATCAGGAGGTTCTAATTGAAAAATTAAATTTAGTTTTAGGTAATTTGATAAAAAAAGACTCTTTTGTCTTCATTGCAGGGGATTTTAATGTAGATATTTTAACAGAAAAACACAAAAAGTTTCCACAAAAATTTATTAACTTTTTAAATACCTACCTACTTTTAATATTTCACCATCAATAAAAGAATATACACGTGTGGATGGGGACAAAAAGTCTTGCATTGATAATATTAATATCTACACAAACAAAATTATACATCTGAGGTTTTCAATCTTCATACTTCTGACCACTTTGGTCAAAAAATTTCCTTTCTTGCAGAAGCAAAACAAAAAAGCCCTGAAACTATAAAAAAAAGAATCTTTAGTGAGGACAACAAAAATCTTTTTAAAAATCTCTTAAGTAAAAATTATTGGCTTGATATCTTGTGCTGTAAACCAGAAGACATAAATGGGCAGTGGGACATTTTTATGGAAAATGTCTCAGTGGCTTATGAGGAAAGTTTTCCTGAGAAAATTATTAAGAAAAGAAAGAGAAACAACATAATTTGGCATAGTTCCCCTGAGGTCATGGAGTGCAAAAAACAACTTGATATACTTTATGATCTTAGTAATACTTACCCCCAGTTCAGGGAGACATATGAGGGAGACATACTGTCACCAAAAAAAGATATATAATAACCTAATAACAAACTCACGTAAAATGTTTTATCAAAATAATATTTTGAGGTCGGCTAACAAATCAAAGGCTGTTTGGCAGGTTGTGAATGAAATAAAGGGCTGTTGCAAAAATCAAAAAACATATATGTTTGAGGGAAACCCGGAGGTGGTTTGCAATGATCTCAATGTTTTCTTCTTAAATGTCGCCAGCAATGCAGTAGGCCAAATAAATTCCAAACATGACATGACAAAATATTTTTCCAAATTTTTCAAACATAAATTTAGTGCAAGTATCACCAGAGGAGGTACTTAACATAATAAAAAATCTAAAGAATAAAAAAAGCTCTGGATTTGATGGAATCTCAAATCACCTCATAAAACTTTGTGGTACAGAACTTTGCTTACCTCTGTGCTTAATTATCAACAACTCTTTTCAATTTGGTATTTTCCCTGAGAAGCTGAAACAAGCAATGGTCATTCCAATTCATAAAACAGGAGATACAAAAAAATTTGAGAATTATAGACCGATCAGTCTTATACCCTCCTTTTCTAAAATCTTTGAAACTGCAATGTGTAATCGGCTCTTAGACTTTTTTTTCACGCATAATCTGCTAAGCCATTCTCAGCACGATTTTTTAAAGAACAAATCAATTGAAACTGCCATCTTTGAATTTATTGGGGAGATTTACGAAAATCTTGAGGATGGCAAAAGCACGCTTGGAGCTTTCTTGGACTTGTCCAAGGCTTTTGACAGTCTGGATCACCAGATTCTTTTGGACAAGCTCAAAATATATGGAGTAACAGGCTCTGCTTTGCTCTGACTGGAATCATATCTTGCGGATAGAACACAGATGGTAACTATTCAAAAGGACGGGAGGGTTGTTTGTTCTGAGAGCAAGGAGGTCACCAGGGGCATCCCACAGGGAAGTGTTATTGGCCCTATTCTCTTTGTCCTCTATATAAACGATTTTTCGTCTCATATAACCAGCGATCATGTAAAGACAGTCAATTTTGCTGATGACACAAATGTCAGTGTCACTGCAGATGGCCTCTTGCAACTCGAAGAGCGAGCAACTTTCTGTCTTGGTAAAGCCCAAAACTGGTTTAACAGTAATTTATTGCTGTTAAACACAGATAAAACCATTTTTATGAGTTTTCATACCCTTCAGTCAGCTAATAACCATCCGACAGGTTTAAATATTTCTTCCCAAAATGTAAGGCTTTCAGATAGTGTGAATTTTTTGGGAATAGAAATAGATCACCACCTAAAATGGAACAAACAAAATCAAGCTCTTTCTAAAAAACTTAGTAGCACCTGCTATTCTTTCCGTGTTCTTAAACAATTAATTCCTAGACAGAAAATCGCTATTATCTGTCTACTATGCCACTTTCTATTCTTTTGCACGCTATGGAATAATATTCTGGGGTAGAGCAGGATGCGAAGGAGATGCATTTGTTATGCAAAAATGTGTGCTGAGACAAATTCTTAACTTGTCCTACAGAGAGTCTTGCCGAGGACATTTCAAAGAAACAAATATTCTTACACTACCAGGTATCTATATCTATGAATGTCTTATGTTCCTACATAAAAACTTTGATAAGTTTCTAAACTATCTCCACATAACACCAGGTCAATTGTCTTAAACTATCCAGTGCACAGGCTCGCTCTCACTGAGACTGGACCCACCTACATGTGTATAAAACTCTTCAACTTTCTTCCCCAAAAATTAAAATTAAAAATAACAGAAAACTGTTTTAAAAAAGTTTTATTTCAGCATCTTGTTTCAATAGAGCCTTACACGATTAATGAATTTCTAAATTAAGATGTACCTACCTAGTAATAACTGAAAACTATTTTGTTCCTCTCTAGTGGTAAATATTTTGTTCCTTTTAACTGTTGGCCAGACTTGTGATAACTTTTTGTGATATTTTATATTTTAAACTGTAAAATTGTCTTTCTTTGTTTTTATTTTATACAAAGTACCTGTCTTTTTAACTGTTCTATTCTTTTTAACTATGTATGTACTAATGACTTATTTTTTACTGTTTGACTGTAAGCACAATTTACTTTACAAATATTCAAATTATATTCTGGACAAAAATTTTAAAATGTTCCTTTTTTAACTCTTTTATTTGGAGAATACTTATCGTTGTAAAACTCAAATTTAAATTTAACTTTAGGTATATATTTTGACACTATTTAATTAAACAACAATTGATGTTTTTTATAATCTCTTTTGTATGTTTCTTTAAAATAAAGATATTCTGATTCTGAATCCCTATGGCATGTATCAGATAATTGTTTACACCTAGCTCGAAGATTACTAAAATGTAAATAATCATTTTAATTATTAGATTTCTTATACTGATGAGCTGCCTTTTTATCTCTAACAAGCCGTTTTAGTTCCCCAGTGAACCCATACAGGAAAAGATGAAGAGGTTTTTCTCTTAGAAGGAACAAAAAGGCTGATAACCTGTTCTAATATTGCTTAAAATTTTTCGGTTGCAGTGTCAATATTTCCCTCCGGTACCAATTCCCAATTTATAGGAGCCAAAAAACTATTAATTCCAATATAATCAGCTCTAGCAGTCTCTAAAAAACTCCAAGATATACAAGTCTTCGTTCTCTCCAACTTGAAGTGTGCAGCAGTAACTCCTATGATGATAACTATCAGCTATGTTGATACAAAAATGAGAGTCCCCAGAGCAAAAAATTAAATCCAAATATTTGTTGTGCGGGTTTGGGATATGATTCTGCTGTTTTAGGCCGAAAAAGCAAAAGTTGTCAAATTGTTTCTGCAGGATAACCACTGGGACATTGAACTAGCTGTTCACCTGCATCTGACAAGAACCAATGATGAACAAGAGTAATTGCGAATTATGTTTTCCACCTCGCTGCAATGGTTAGCATAGGTTTCACTAGGTGAATTTGGTGGAATATAAGCCGCTCCTAATATTAATTTCACCTTGCCAAATATTAGCTGAACAAAAACATGTTCAACTGTGTTCATTATGCATGGAATGAGCAATGAAGTCTCATGGTTATTTGTTCCCTGTCCAAGCGATAAATGTTATAGTTGGGAATACCAAGCTCGGCATCATTAAATTCTGAAGTTAACCAAGTCTCAACTATAATGATCACATCAGAAAAAAGAAGCTGCGACACCCTTAGCAAAGTCCCGAATTTTTGACCCATTGATTTTGACCTCATCCCACCAACATTATGGAGGTAAATAGAGAGGTTTAGCTTACTTAGTTTTTTGGTACAGCTCGAGTGGACTTTATTATCACAGGTGTTCCATTCTTGTATAATAATTAATATTATGAGTGTTGAAGATAATTTGGATAAAATTTAAATTAGATTTCCACTGTTTCTTTTGAATTTATTATTCGAAATCTTGCCCAAATATAAATAGTTTTTTCAACTTCAAAAACAAGTAGTAAAGATATTTGATTTTCAGGCAGCTAATTTATACCTCAAGCCAAGGCTCAAAAACCTTCTAAACTGCTATTTTATGAGGTTAGGAAGAAAAATTCTGATGCCAAAGAAGAATATTTTTTTATGCTTGCCTAAATAACAAACCAATTTTTTTTTCAAAAGTGTATATTAGTATAAAAATAAATTATTCATAAATCAAGATGTGCAAATCAAGGCAGTGGAGATTTTCATTTAAGTTTTACAAGGGATATTGCAGAGCTTTGTTTGGAAAAGACAGTAAAATGCAGAATTTAATTTTAATTGATCAACACGAATTATTGTAAAATTCTCAGTCCTCAAAACTATTGACATTTTTTTATAGACAGATTAACCACTAATTTGTTTGTAACAGATATCAGAAATCGTAGAAAATAATGTAATAGTGGCTCTGAAAAAATCTAGTAGGTACTCCACCGTTTTGTTTTGCACCTCATTCAATAAAATTAGTACAATACATTGATAAAAAAAATACAAAACAAATAAAATAACAAAAATAATAAAAGTTTCCAACTTGTAGATTATTCAAAATGAAATCAAAAAAAAAACTTACAAATCAAAAATATTCATTAAATGAGTTAAAGCGAATACGGAATTTGTAAACATATTTGGTCTTTTATAGTCCAAGCCCCAAGTTGCAGTTGTGCTTGGCACTTTCAAGTGTTTCACTGAACCAAAACACGAGTGAAGTTGTAATTTGTGCGATTTTTCTACCATATTTTGCTTACGCATGACCAATGTGGAGATTTTGGCTAGTCGTAGTTGGAAGTTTGGTAGAGCCAAGAGAACTTTCTTATATTCCGCTTCGTGGGCAAAAAGCCACAACAGAGTACACAGAGTTGGGAATAAAGGAGAGTCCTTATCGCACCAATTCACTAATACATTGAGAACTCTATCCATTTGGGTTGGGTCCCAACTGTTTTGTCTTGTTTTAGGATATTTGTAAAAGTTGATGAGGATGTAACTTGATACATTGGAAGCTTTCATTTCTGGCAAAGATCGGGCAGCAGCAGTAATTATGGTGTATAGTTGCCAGGGGAGACTTTGACTCAGTTGGCAGCAAAGTTTTTGGCAGTGACGTGAGATAAAATCTAAAAAAAAAAAAATACATAAATTCCTTATTTAAATTAAAGATTATCGATTCTCAATATGACATTCAGAATTTTTCTTGGAGCAATTCCAGAATAATTCATATAGTGCACCAGAGTACTACAAACTTAAAACTATGAAATGAAGAGAGACAAAGTCTAATATCAGAAGAATATTAATCTTAAGTGATCAACTTGGTTATAGTTTGGGCTTCCTTATTCTAAACTCAACAAAACAGTGCTGTGAATACTGTGGTTGAAGCAGCAGCGTTTTGGCTTTCTGTGGTCTCAGCTAAACGACCAGAGGAATCTACTAACAAATTTTGTCTTTTGTTGTACTAGAGGTAAGTTGAGCATTTGACGAACTTTCATTTGATTTGCTTAATTTCCTGCTTGCTTTTTCTTAAATAATTGTCATCTTTATTAATTTTTTTGGATATATTTGTCGAAAATGGAGGACCCCGGGGGGGGAGGGGCCCCGCCGGGACCGGACTTGAACCATGAAAAAACTAAGGTTCCAACTTATTTATATTCAAATCTTGATAAGGGTCCATTTTTTGTCTATGTCGAATCCACTGATAAGGTTGGTTTTAGTGTTGGGAAGGTGAATAATATAAAAATAGCTCGGGACATTTGCAATTTAAATTTAACCGATATTAAAAAAATTTACAATAAAGGTCTTAATCGTATATCAATTGAGTTTATAAATTTTCAATCAGCAAATAATCTACTTAAAAATAGAAATTTGACTGAAAAAGGATATAATATTTTCATCCCTTTTAATTTTGTATCCTGTAAGGGCATCGTGAGGCAAATAGATAGTGACATTGGTGATATTGAATTATTGGATTGCTGCAAAGCAGACAATCAAATAGAAATTTTGTCATTGAAAAGGCTTAATAGGAAAATACTTAGAAATGAACAGATGGTTTATGAACCAACAGGTTCAGTGTTATTTACTTTTAAAGGTGTGTTTTTGCCAAGATATGTTAAAATTTATGGCCTGGAACGACCTGTTCAGGTGTATGTTTCTCCAGTCACTCGGTGCTTTAGGTGTCTACGATATGGACATACCAAACATAATTGCAAAGGAAGAGAAAAATGTTTCAATTGTGGCAAAGAGGAAAACCATTTGGAAGGTGATACAGATTTTTCTTGCACAACTGAATGCTTTTATTGTAAAGAAAATCACAAATCAATTTCTAAAAAATGCCCTGAATATACTAGACAAAAGAATATTAAAGAATTAATGGCCTTTGAAAATGTTACCTTTTATGATGCAAGCGAATTATGTAAAAAAACTTATGTACCTAGAGGAGACTATGTCTATAACAAAACTAAAGAGTTTCCCAACACCCTTAAAAATCCCAACAATGAGAATAATGTGACCCTTCCTTCACAAAGAAGAAGTCACTTCTCCCAAAATAACACTACAAAAAGATCCTTCGCGCAAATTGTTGCAAATAATAATAATAAAAAACGAATCATTCAAAAAGGCTTTGATTATAAGGAACATCAAGATGCACTGTTCTTTCCCAATTCGAGACACCCTAAGCAAATCCCTTCTCAGAGCGTTTCCGAGGACAATTCTTATATAAACCCTCAACCCTCCACATCTCATTATACTCCAACTAATTTTCCCTACAATTCACAAATGGTTAACCTAAATTCACTCATGCCTAAAAGTGCCTTGCATAGCTTTAAAAAAAATACTGAACTAGATCATTGTTTGAACTTCATTTTGAATACGTCTGAAGATAATCTGAACTCTATCAGAGAAATATTATTGTCTCGTCAATCTGATATAAACATAGACCAAGACTCAGATTTCTAATTAAAAAAAAAAAAAAAAAAAAAAAAAAGAAAAATATGTACAAAAACAAATTAAAACTTTTACAATGGAATATAAGAAGTATTAATTCCAACAGAGACAACTTAATAAAGTTATTAGAACACGAAAAACCGGATGTTGTATGTTTGAATGAAACCTGGCTTAAAATAAATCAGAATTTTTCTTTGAATTCATATAATATAATAAGAGAAGACAGAATGGATGGATATGGTGGTGCTGTAACTTGCATTAAGAAAAATATTATTTTTACTAAAATTAAGGGCTTTTCATCAGATGACACTCAGTATATTATTGTTAAAATCAATGAATTATACATTATTAACATTTACACTAATTCCTCTAATAATGTAAATCTACAATTGCTGGAGAACCTTTTGGTGAACGTGCCTGCTGATAAAATAGTCATCATGGGCGATTTCAACTCACACCACCCAATGTGGGATGGAGTCCCCATGAATAATGGAGGGAAAATCATAAGTGACTTTATAATAGATAGAGATTTGGTCATTATGAATGATGGAGAGATGACTCTTTTTCAGAATCCTAATAACAGAGGTAGTGCAGTGGATCTGTCAATGGTGAGTAGCAATTTGGCAGCCTATATGGAGTGGGGAGTTGTTCGGGACTGTGGAAACAGCGATCATTTCCCAACGTTTCTAGAATTTAATTTTAAAAACGAAAATAGTGGAAAGTATTTCTTTGGTACTTATAATAATAATAATAATAATAATAATAAAGGTCTTTTATTTTCAAAATAAAGTATAAGAAATTACAAGATATTCATAAAAAAAAGGGCGAGATTCAGTTTACCGATTTTTAGAAAAAAATCGGTATCTGTTCTTCCACCTAACCCTGTAGACAGAAAAGTTAGATTGCACTTAAAGGTCCTTAGAATAGATTTAATATAAAAAACAAAAAAAATAAAACCCTAAAAAAAAAATATCAATTTTGTTTATACCTACCAAATAAAAAGCCCGTACAATAAAAATAAAAGGACACAGCAGTATAATTAACATGTTCATAATTATTACTGCCATAAATGAAAATGTAAGCAGATAAGGAGAGAAACAGAGTTTTCTTTCTCTTCAAAGAGAAAGAAGAAAAAACATAGGTACTCATCGACCTTCAAGTTGCAGAATGAAATTGTTTTTCAAATAAAATTTGAAACATTTTTTTTTTAAATGATAGTTTATTATTGGTTTTTAGAAGTAAGGATGGGAGCTGATTAAATACTGATACAATCTGATATGAGAAGGATCTTTTAAAGATTTGTAGAGAGTGTAATGGGGGTGTTAACCTTCCACTGAACCGAATATTTATATTGTGAACATCGGATCTGTATCTAATTTTATTGTGCAGATAGTTGGGAACTTTGTTTTTAATTATATTAAAATAAAAGGTCGCTGCATGTAAATATCGTCTGTTAAACATATTTAGCCATTTGCTAGTTATTAGAGTGTGGCTTATTGGACTAAATTTTCCTATACCATGGACCAATCGCAAGCAAGAATTTTGCAGTTTTTGAATTTTTTTTGAATCTATTTGACTCAAACACGGGTTGTAAATGGTGTCACAATAGTTAGCTTGTGACAAAACAAAACTTTCACATAGCATGGTTTTGATTTTTTTGTTCAAACACGAGCGATGCTGGTAAATTGTCCTTAAGTTCGCATAACCCCTCTGCAGACACCTGTTAACATGATCTGTAAACCTTAAATTCTGATCCATAATAAGGCCTAAGTTTTTAATAGATTTGTGCTCAACGATAGGCTCAGAACCCAGTTTAATGCACCCCCCATACGCAGCCACAAATTCCTCTCTATGATTCCTTGGTCCAAAGACAATCATACCTGACTTTTGAGTATTTAACTGAAGACCGTGTTTTTTAGAAAGATCCAGAACATTATTTAAATCGTAGTTAATAGCAGCTACAGCTTGATCGGATTCAGTTATAGAAAAAGGCAAGTATAACTGAGTGTCATCACAGTAAAAATGATGAAAGCAAGAAAGAAACGCAGAAGGAAAGCTAAAGACGTACAAAGAATACATCAGGGGACCTAGAATTGTTCCTTGAGGAACGCCTGTCGCTACCTGCAAAAATGAGGATAGATTGTTATCATAAAAAACCGCTTGATTTCTACCCAGTAAAAACTCATCCATCAGTTTGTTTGCACTCCCGGACAATCCCAAGTAATGCATAATGGAGCTCAAAAGCTGATGATTCAATGTGTCAAAAGCCTTTGAGTAGTCAAGAAGTACAAGGACTGTTAGTTTGCCTTCATCGATTGCTCTAAATATATCGTCTGTTATTTTGGTAAGTGCTGTTGCGCAACTATAATTGGGCCGAAATCCTGATTGGTGCACAGGTAAAAGATCATATTTTTCAATATGCGTCCTCAGTTGAGTCTCGATGATTTTTTCTAGGATCTTGGACATCGTCGGTAGAACGCTAATTGGTCTGAGATTATTGATTCGGGATTTTTTATTTTTGGAAGAGGGGTGACCTTCGCTTTTTTCCAGGAGGACGGAAAAACGGATTCTCTCAAGCAATAGTTTATAATATGCGTTAAATAGGGTGAAAGGAACGGTAAGCAGAGGCTTAAAGTTAAAATATTTATACCGTCCAATCCTGTTGCTTTTGACTTAATTTTCTTAATAATATTCAAGTGAGGAATTTCAATAAGGCCAATTGGCAACTATATTATGAGAAAATAGTGTTGCTTTTAGTTGATAAAGACTTAAATTTAAGTTATCAGGACTTGACCGAAATTATGAATTCGGCAGCAGAAGAATCGATACCTCGGAAAAAGTGTGGCTCTGTGGGAAAAATTTCCAATCCATGGTGGGATGAGGAGTGTTCCCTGTGGTTAGATGCGAGAAAGAGTGCTCTGGATGTGTTCAATAATGCCCCAAGTATAGAAAATTACATAAATGCAAAACGAATAATTGCCATTACTAGGAGAAATTTAAGGGAGAAAAAAAAGAACAGTTTCAAATCTTTTTGTGAGACCCTCAATAGGGAATCAAATATTAAATATGTCTGGAATAAGATTAAAAAGTTTTCAAACCACCATAATATTTTGAATAAATATACAACTCCTGATAACATTAAGCTTCAAATTCTTCAGACAATCTCAAGTATCAATATTAA